AGAAGCACATGGCAGGCATGACTGGAGGAAGTGACCCAGATGAAAGAGATATGCAAGTATTTGTGGAATTACTGATGGGAGGTAGATTTTGATGGGCCTGGGAAGTAAAGGAATTTTAGAAGGTTAATACCTGCCCTGTTCCAGGTGGTACAAGGCCATTATAAAATCACTTAGGTGTCTGTGTCTTTTATTGATTGTGATAGCTGTGATAAGTATAAGCTAATAATCAACATGACTGGACCTTACTTCTAAATATACATCAATAATGTGGGTGCTGGGGAGCAAACCCAAGCCCCATGCAAGAGAAGTAGGTGCTCTTAACTGCTGAGCCATCGCTTCAGCACCCAGGATAGCACCTTGCAGAGCTGTATGTGGCCTCTAAGGGCCATAGTCATCCACTTCTTAGCTTACTTACCTTAACAGAGTGTGCTTGGAATTCTAGTGACAGACCTCCTTTGTATGTCCTCTGGAGCAGCCTCACTCTGTGAGTATTTAAAATAGCATTTTTCCCCCTGCCATCTTCCTTGCAAATTCTGAACTTTTGTTTTATTTAGTGTGAACTACCACTTCCCTGAGCTGTTGAGAGTTATTCCAGAAGCATGCCAGCTTTAACATGGCTAAATATTAAACTTTGGCCGATCCTTTTATGCCAGTCATGAGGGCTAGGAAAAGGAAAATATAAAACCAGTTTTAAACGATAGCTTCTTAAGTGAAAGGTGAATATACAGGCTTGTCCAAGTCTAATTATAAAATTTATCTGACAATTCCAGAGGGCCTATTTGGAAAACTGTTTTTTTTTTCTTTTGCCTGAAAAGATCTCACACTTTGGGAAATAACAGTTCAATCACCAGCAACACTGAAGTTTCCACTACAGAGAGTTCTGAACAACCTTTTCAATAAAAACCTGCATGTACTGGCACCATTGATACTGTTTGGCACTGTCATCCTCTAACTACTAATTGTGGGCTTGTCAAACAACTCAGAAGAGACAGTGCTTGCCAAGCAAGCAAGAAGACTGGAGTGTGAGTCCCCAGAACCCTTGTAAATGCAGGACAGGTGTAGTGACATATACTCCCTGGAGACAGGATTCTCTTGGCAAAGTCTCTAGCTAGACTGATGATGTGGTTCCCTTAACAGAATCTTCCTCAATTAGCAAGGTGTAAGATGATCAAGGAGGCTTGTGAACATCAGTCGGCCTCCATGTGTGCAAACAGCTCACACAGGCATGCTCCTTCTGCCACCACAATTAACTTACTTCTCATGTCTTCCACAAGGACCCTTCCAAATATGTCCATAAGGTCCTGTTACATTAACGGAATACTTTAATATCCTGGATCCTGTTTTATGCCACTCAACAGGGGACCTTCCCTGTGATTTTTAAATAACTGTGTTAGTTTTTTTTTTATGTATTCTAACATTAGGAGCTGCCTTCACATTTCATAATTTGAAATTTTACTTACTGGTCACATCCATAAATTCTTCCACTCTTTGCATCCATGTTAAATGAAAATTGTTAGTTTGTAGTTTGAGGTGGATATGTTGCATCCAAGTTTCAACTCCTTTTCAGTCAACTAAATATTTCCTACATACGTTTTATGCTCATGTTAACTTCTTTGCAAACATCCCTCATCTATATTTTTAGACTAGAAAATCAATTGGATTCACTGATTTCTCGCTTGTATTAAACTTCTAGTTTTAATCTTCACGGTGACTTGTGAGCACCAGCTCTCACTTACCTGATATGGCACATGGAATTAAACCTGGATAGGTGAAGGCGCCTCAGTGAGATTGAGGCTGTGACATTTATTGAGAACAATTAGACTTTTTATACCTGTATCAGAAACAGAATATACGGGCAATGGCCAGGATCAATATAGTCATGGTAGCTAGGATACAACGGTGTTTGCAAGCTACACCAGGTACGCAGGATTAAGGTCTAGGAGCACTTGTCCTGCCAAGCTTCCATGCTTCCTTGAATTCTAAGGGAACATAGAGAGAAACACTAAGTGTCCTGGGATGCTTCATGGCCTGAGGGAGTGCCTCCATATCTCAGAAAGGGAAAGACACACAGTGCAGTAGGAGCCATGGACTGTAACAAGTGATGATGCATGCCTCTCAAGGCAGCTAGGCCAGGTCAAGTCCATGGTTCCCTGCAGTGACTATGCTTAATTTTTTCATTCTACTTGGGCAGTTCATGATGCCTTGATTACTCTGATTTCTTTAGGTCACTTTTTCCAATTCAATGAGAGAATTATAGCCATATACATGTTCTCTTACACCTTTGTAAACTCAAAATGTCCTTAGTTTTCCCTTATTTTTTAAAAATATGTACATATGAGTGTTTTGCCTGCATATATGTTTGTGTGCTGTGTGTACATAGTGAGCTATATGCCAGAAGAGAGTGCTGGGCCCCGTGGAACTGGAATTATAAATTGTAAGAGCTTATGATCCACCATTTTGAGAATTGAGACCATGTCCTCTGCAAGCCCAGCTAGTCTCTTAACCACTGAGCCATCTGTCTGGGTCAAGTTACCCTTCTCTGACATAGCTCACCGCCCACTCTTAAGCAAGCGTTATGCATGGGAGCAGATAATGAGTTGTGTATGTGTAGCGTATCTTGCTAACAGGTAACAGAGTTAAACAGCAAACCATCCATGTGTGTTCCCAGAGTGGGTGATTGATAGTTGGAGAGGATGTAAGAGTCTACACATTTCTATTAAATGGAAGGACAGTGTTTTAATGACACCAGTCTAGCTAAAGTTCTGGTCAAAGTAAATAGAAAAATGTGCTTGAAAGCAAACAGAACAGCATTAAGCATGAAGTCAAAAGTAATATTTACCCTTTTCTATAGTCTAGTGAGCACAGAAGCAAGCAGCCAGAGGACAAAGTGCTCAGAGGAGACAAACAAGAACAAACTCCAAGGTGATCGCAAACACAGATGATTGCAGTTCTTGGCTAATAATTAAAATGGGGCAAAACAATCTTTTGGAAGTTCAGTTTTACTTCAATGAGCTTGGATCGGTCACAAACTTCTAGTGGACGCAAGCAACAATAATGTAGTGCTGTTTTAGTTTTCAGTGAAATATGTTAGAGAAAAACCAAATCTTGAAGTAAGAAGCTAAGATTTAAGAAGCTTCCCAAATTTGATAATAAAAGGAATTTCTTTTTTAATGGGGAAAAGATTATATTAGAGTAGAGCTCTGTGTGACTTCTGGAAAGGTAGCTAGCTGAGAATAAACAAGAATAATGGTTCCTGAGGACCAAACAAACAACACATATTTTTCATGCTGGCTAAGGATTTAGCTCTTCCTTGTTATTAATTATTTCTTGTAGGATTAATATCTAAATCTTGTTTTAATTTTTTGTAACTATCCAAGAATGTATGATGTAGTGTGTTATGTGATTCTTTTGACATTTATTTTATTTATTGTGTTTGTGGGTACTGACATGTAGAGTGGTGTGTGTGTGTGTGTGTGTGTGTGTGTGTGTGTGTGTGTGTGTTGTGTTAGAGAAAGTGTTAAAGTCCCTAGTTGCTGCATGGCATGGCTGGCATACCCTGCCCTACAAGCAGAGCTTCTCCTTTCGCAGAGATCCTTCACTATATAATCCAGACATCTAGGTTCTGCTGCCATTTTTCCCCTTTCCCTCGTCTCTGCTCTCTCTCTCTTCCAGCTTCATTTCTTCCCCACACAAGCATGCACTCCTCCTCCTGCGATGCTCCCAATAAACCTGTGTTTATATAATATAGCTTTGTCTCACCATTAGCTCATTTCATTTGATTTAGTCAACAATCAATCATCTTGTGCGGCCACTCTGAGGATGTTGAGTCCCATAAGCTGGACTTCATGGGGCCACTCTCTTTACCTCATTGCTCACTGCCTGCTCTGAACCAGTCATCCTGAAACCCGGGAGATGCTGAGTCCTCAAGCCCATGACCCAGGTTTTCCTTGGCTACATGGAGACTGCCTCTCCTCTCTCTCCATTTGACACAACTTTGGATTTGGTAAGTGCTCTCTCAAGTAGCTGCTGCCAGGAGGTACCAGGCTCCTCTCAGGTGGGGGTTGGGATCATTCCCAACCCTGGACTGTTCTGTGGAGGGGTGGCCTTTTTCTGACCCCACAGAAGCCTAGTGGGAAGGCCATCTGGATAATGGGTAAGCCTTTGTCATATTAATCATATATAGGCTGCTTGAATTATGCTTTCTGTGGTAATTTATCCTTCTCATGTCTCTGATGGGTTTGAAGATCATTTAACAACAGCAATGAAGGCTTCAGCTGCCTTCTCAGAAACATGTAAAGTTTATGTAGAGTTTGATGATCTAAGAAAATATTTAAGGGTCTGAAGAGGTGTTTCAGGTTTGGTGATAAGAAAGTAATTTCAGGTGTATAAAAACTCTCCCCCCACTATGCTATTGTTTTAACATTAATCAATTTTAAATTGTCTCCCAAGCCAATTTGTCTCTTTTTTATAAACTTAGAAAGATCCTTGTAAGCTTTAGAAGATCCACTGGAACCCACTGACCCAGTTCCAGATAAGTACTGCCAATCAACACCCTGTTTCCTAGCCTACCTATTTCTGAGAGTGGGATTTCTCCCCTGGTTTGGGGGCGTTCTTTAACCAACTACCAATACCATGGGCCTAAAAGTTTCAAATGTAGAGTTAAAAAAATATTTTCTCCGGAAACCTAATTTTATCTTATTTCCTTAACATATATAAGTTCTAGCAGCCTCTTATCTCAAGAGCTTCATCCAGTACTTCAGCCTAAACTTCACAGCCTGCATCAGCTGAATCTGCATTTTGCTAGACAAACATGGTCTCACAGATTCTGGGCAGCAAATAAAGCAGCCTGCTCTTGGAATTTGACAACATTCCAGATTTTTTCTGCAATCCCCCAAATCAGTGCCCTCAATATCAGCCAGAAGTAGCCATAAAAGAATCTTCACATGTTATTCATTTATTATCAACAAAAGATGAGAGAGAAAGAGAGAGATAGAGAAAGAGAGAGAGAGAGAGAGAGAGAGAGAGAGAGAATTTTTCTGTCACCTTCTTGTGGGTTCTTGGGATCAAACTCAGTTTTATAACATTCTTAGCTTATTTGTACTTTTTAAAGTGCTAAGGTAATTCAGTCTACACACAGCTGAGCATTGGTGCTCCAAGCTTCTAATCCCAGCACTCTAGAGGCAGAGGCAGCTAGAACTCTATGACCTTATGTCCAGCCTGATCTATAGATCAAGTTCCAGGAAATACAAACCTATACAGAAAATCCCCATTTCAAAAATTAACATAAAATAAAATCTGTACACAAATGATATTACAATTCAAAAGCAGGTTGTCCATAAGTAACCTGTCTGCCAGGATGTAACTGTTCTACACCTTGAGACAACTGTGACTTATACAGGTGTATTTGATGGGCCCCTACACTTAACAGTTTGTTTCACTATATGATAAGCTATGAACAATTGCTGAGTTCCTGTTAGCAGGCTGGCCATTCAAGATGACATGAAGGAGAAGCTACAGTGGGCAGGTGAGATTTTAGCAGACATACCACTGTTTTGCTAAGCTGTGATGGCTGTACCTGGAAAAGACACAGCCCCAGAGACCTTTTTTCCAAATTGCTTCTTGCTGGTGCTGTGCCTTCTCATATTTGCCTTGCTCTAATCCTCATATCTTTGATACAGTGAGACTGGGCATGGGAGATCCTCACAGCCTGTTATCTGGTGTGATCATTTTCTGGGTGATATGGAAACACCATTGTATTCTCATTTCTCTTATCTGTATGTGTATCTATGTGGACACACACATGTTTATTTCTTGTCTGTGCATGAGTATCTGCACAGAGTCTCTGTCTGTGTTTTGCTTCCTAAGTATTATTTGTGGTGATAAGAACTAATTTGCTAGAGTAAGTTTGACTTGAGAAATGTGCTGGGGAATATTTTTTAAATGAGAAAATAATCTTTGATTATCTAATACCAGGAAGTGAAGACATGGCCAGTGATGGGGACAGAAAGTGAAGAAGTAGCAGTGAGGACAGGGCATAAACCACTGGCCATTGGTGGGGACTTTTCAAGGGATATATGAATGTTTGAGGAGGCAGCTTCTGTCACAAGGACTTGTTAAATAGAAATGCCTCCTTCTAGGAAATTGACCACGCCTTTGATAGAGCAATGGTTAAGTTTCATTGTCGACTTGATTGGATTCAGAATCTCTATGGAGACATGGATGTACGGGGCAGATCCTGAAAGTTTAACTGAGGTAAGAAGAAGGAGGGTTCTTCCTTCTTTTTGGCAAGGGCTTCCTAGACTGAGAAACAAAAGTAAGAAAGAGCATTCTTCTATCTCTGCTTCCTGAAGTTGGATGCAGTGACACCTGCCACCTCTCAATGCTCCTACTCTCCCCTCCCTGGTATGATGGAGTACACCTTCAAAATGTGAGACAAATAATTTCTTCTTCATATGGCTTCTGTCAGATATTTTTCCTAGGAATGGAAAAAAAGCAAAAAAATGCAATGATCAAGGGATTATACTGTAATTTACTAAATAAATTAAAAATATGTAAGTTTATACAGATTTAAGTTAATCAATATTGGGAAATAAGGAAAACCCTATCATAGCTCAGCAAACCAGCTGCTGCATTTAACACAAATAACTGAGTTTTGAATTGTCATTGGAAGCTAAAACTAGTGAATTACAGATAGACAAGAGATTCTTATGATCTATTGAACTCCACACAAACATTCAATGAAATAAATAGAAAAATATTACCTTGATGCTAAGAGAATTGGAAGATCCACATGGATCACGTAATCAGGGCTCACCTTACCAACAAGGAAAAATAGACATTATGAGTCCAAGAATTTCAGGAAGCATCATATTATTCCCATAGTATTCTCACTCAAGTTGTGTAACAAGAACATTTTCATGAAGGGACTTTAGACAAGTTTGTATTGACAGGTATTTTGAACATCTGACCTTCTTAGATTTTTTAATTAAAAAGTTAGATATGTGTGGTGTCTGTCACATAGGTATTGATACCAAAGAAGGCTCGAGAAGGTGTTAGATTCCTCTAGAATTTCAGGTGGATATGGGTGTCTGTCACACTTGTATTGATTCCAAAGAAGGCTACAAGAAGGTATTAGATCCCCGTAGAATTCCAGGTGATTCTGAACCACCTGCTGTGTGATATGGGAAAAGCAGCAAATGCTCTTAATCAATGAATCATCTCTTCTGCCTCATGATATTCTCTGTAAATGGTTAATAATTCCCTTCCCAAGAGAAGGCCAAGATACTGTTCTTATCCAAAGAAACCAGAGCTAGTTCCCTTAACATAACCTCTGAGATTGGCCTGGGTTTTGAGACAATAGTAAAAAGCCAATAAAAGGGGTCCGTGAGATGGCTCAGTAGGCAATAGCCAATTCCTGCCATGCATGTGGACCTGGTTTTGATCCTGAAATCAGATTCCTGCAAGTTTTCTTCTGACGTACACGTGTATGCTGTGACATATATGTAGCACACGTGCAGGCATACACACAGAAACACATACACATAGTCACACACACCAAATATATACATGTGATTAACTTTTTTCAAGATAGAATTGGAAAAATTAAAGAAAACACAAATGGAGGAAATTGTGGAAAGAAACAAGTTAGGGAAGAAAACAGGAAGTACAGAGTTTAGCATAACCAATAGACTACAAGAGATAGAAGAAAGAATCCCAGGTGTGGAAGATACAATGGAAGAAATAGATGTATCTGTCAAAGAAAATGTTAAATCTAAAAAATTCCTGACACAGTCGTCCAAGAAATTCAAGACAACATAAAACGACAAAACCTAAGAATAATAGGAATAGAGGAAAAAGAAGATTCCCTGCTCCAATGCCCAGAAAATATTTTCAACAAAATCATTGAAGAAAATTTCCCCAAGTTAAAGGAGAGGCCAATAAAATACAAGAGGCCTATAGAACACCAAATAAATTAGACCAGAAAAGAAAATCCTCCCGCCACATAATAATCAAAACAGTAAGTAAACAGAACAACGAAAAAGTACTAAAAGCTACAAGGGAAAAAGGTCAAGTAACATATAATGGCAAACCCGTCAGAATCACACCTGACTTTTCAACAGAGACTATGAAAGCCAGAAGGGTATGGACGGATATCATGCAGACCCTAAGAGAACACAGATGTCACCCCAGGCTACTATACCCCGCAAAACTCTCAGTCCTCATAGACGGAGAAAACAAGATATTCAATGACAAAAACAAATTTCAACAATACCTACACACAAATCCAGCATTACAGAAGACACTAGAAGGGAAAATACAACCCAAGAAAACTAGCAACTTTCAAGAAAACACAGAAAATAATTAACCTCACTACAGTAAAACAAAAAGCAATGAAGCACACAACCTTATGACCACAGCCAACATCAAAATCAAAGGATCTAACAGCCACTTGTCATTAATCTCTCTCAATATCAATGGACTCAACTCTCCAATAAAAAGACACAGACTAACAGAATGGATGCATAAACAAAACCCAGCAATCTGTTGCATACAAGAAACACACCTAAGTCACAAAGTTAGACATTACCAGAGGGTAAAGGGTTGGAAGATGGCTTTCCAAGCAAATGGACCCAAGAAGCAAGCAGGAATAGCCATTCTAATATCTGATAAAAATAGACTTGATCAAAAGATATGGGGAATGACACTTCATACTCATCAAGGGAAAATTCCACCAGGAAGACATCACACTCCTGAACATCTATGCCCAAAATACAAAAGCACCCACATTTGAAAAAAAAATTGATAAAACTTAAAGCACACATAGATCTGCACACATTAAGAGTGGGAGACTTCAACACACCGCTCTCAACAAAGGACAGGTCAACAAAACAGAAATTAAACAAAGAAACAATGTCTTTAACAGAGGTCATGAATCAAATGGACCTAGCAGATATTTACAGAACCTTACACCCAAACACAAAAGAATTTACCCTTCTTCTCAGCACCTCATGGAACCTTCTCCAAAATAGACCATACAGTTGGTCACAAAGTGAGCCTCAACAGATACAAAAAGATTGAAATAATCCCTTGTATCATGTCTGATCACCGTGGAATAAAGCTGGACCTCAACAACAACAGAAATAGCAAAAAGCCTACACACACATAGAAACTGAACAACTTGCTACTAAATGACAGCTAGGTCAGGGAAGAAATAAAGAAAGAAATAAAAGTCTTCCTAGAACTCAATGAAAATGAAGACACAACATACCCAAACTTGTGGGACACAATGAAAGCAGTGCTAAGAGGAAAGTTCATAGCACTAAGGGCCTTCAAGAAGAAATTCGAGACAGCTCATTCAAGCAACTTAATGGCTCACTTAAAAACCCTAGACAAAGAAGAAGCAGACATACCAAAAAGGAGTAGACAGCTGGAAATAAACTAAGGGCTGAAATCAATCAATGAGAAACACATAAAACAATTCAAAGAATCAATGAAACCAAGAGCTGGTTCTTTGGGAAGATCAACAAGATAGACAAACCCTTAGCCAAGCTAACTAAAAGGCAGAAAGACACCATCCAAATCAACAAAATCAGAAATGAAAAGGGAGACATAACTACAGACACTGAGGAAATCCAAACAATCATTAGGACTTACTTCAAAAGTCCATATGCAACAAAATTTGAAAATCTAAATGAAATAGACAATTTTCTTGATCGATTCCGCTTATGAAAGCTAAATCAGGACCAGGTACATCTACTAAATAGTCCTATATCCCCCAAGGAAATAGAAGCAGTCATCAAAAGTCTCCCATCCAAAAAAAGCCCAGGACCTGATGGTTTCAGTGCAGAATTCTACCAGTCATTCAAAAAAGAGCTAACTCCAGTTCTCTTCAAACTATTCCACAAAATAGAAACAGAAGGAACATTACCAAACTCATTCTCACCTTGGTACCTAAACTTCACAAAGACCCAACAAAAAAAGAGAACTTCAGGCCAATCTCCCTTATGAACATTGATGCAAAAATACTCAACAAAATACTTGCAAACACACTTACCAAAACACATCAAAGATATCATCCACCATGACCAAATAGGCTTCATCCTAGGTATGCAGGGGTGGTTCAATATACGGAAATCCATCAATGTGATACACCATATTAACAAACTGAAAGAAAAAAAAAACACATGATGATCTCCCTAGATGCTGAAAAAGCATTTTACAAAATCCAACATCCATTCATGTTTAAAGTATTGGAGAGATCAGGAATACAAGGCACATATCTAAACATAGTAAAGGCGATATATGATATATAGCAAGGTTATAGCCAACATCAAACTGAATGGAGAAAAATTTAAAACAATCCCACTGAAATCAGGGACAAGAAAAGGCTTCCCACTGTCTCCATATCTCTTCAACATAGTTCTGGAAGTCCTTGCTAGAGCAATAAGACAGTTGAAGGAGATCAAGGGGATACAAATTTGAAAGGAAGAAGTCAAATTATCACTATTTGCAGATGATATGATAGTATACATGAGTGACCACAAAACCGCTACCAGGGAACTCCTACAGCTGATAAACACCTTCAGCAAAGTGACCGGATAAAAAATTAAGTAAAAAAAAAAATCAGTAGCCCTTCTGTATACAAAAGACAAAAGTGCTGAGAAAGAAATTAGGGAAACAACACCCTTCACAATAGCCACAAATGACATAAGGTACCTCGGAGTAACCCTAACCAAGGAAGTCAAAGACTTGTATGAAAAAAATTTCAAGTCTCTGAAGAAAGAATGAGAAGAAGATATCAGAAGATGGAAAGTCCTCCCATGCTCATGGCTTGGCAGGATTAACATAGTAAAAATGGCCATCTTACCAAAAGCAATCTACAGGTTCAATGGAATTCCCTTCAAATTATCAACACAATTCTTTACAGACCTGGAAAGAAAAATTCTCAACTTCATATGGAATAACAAGAAACCCAGAATTGCTAAAACAATCCTCTACAATAAAAGATCTTCTGGAGGTATCTCCATCCCTGATCTTAAGTTGTACTATAGAGCAACAGTAATAAAAACTGCATGGTACTGGCATAGAAACAGAATAGTGGATCAATGGAACCGAAGACCCAGAAGTAAACCCACACACTTATGGACACCTGATCTTTGAAAAAGATGCCAAAACCATACAATGGAAAAAAAGATAGCATCTTCAACAAATGGTGCTGGTCCAACTAGATGTATACATGTAGAAAAATGAAAATAGATCCATACTTATCACCCTGCACAAAACTGAAGTCCAAGTGGATCAAAGACCTCAACATAAAACCAGATACATTAAATCAGCTAAAAAAAAAAAGTGGGGAATACCCTAGAACTCATTGGTACTGGAGAAAACTTCCTGAACAAAATACCAACAGCACAGGCTGTAAGAGCAACAATCAATAAATGGGACCTCATGAAACTGAAAAGCTTCTGTAAAGCAAAGGACACTGTCATCAAAACAAAGCGACTGCCTACAGATTGGGAAAGAATCTTCACCAACCCTTTATCTGACAGAGGACTCATATCCAGTATATATAAAGAACTAAAGAAGCTGAAAAGCAGCAAACTGAGTAATCCACTTAAAAAAAAGGGAGAACAGAGCTAAACAGAGAATTCTCAATAAAGGAATATGGAATGACAGAGAAGCACTTAAAAAAATGATCAACCTCATTAGCCATTAGGGAAATGCAAATCAAAACAACCCTGAGATTTCACCTTATACCCATAAGAATGGCCAAGTTCAAAAACTCAAGTGACAACACATGCTGGAGAGGTTGTGGAGAAAGGGGAACCCTTCTCCACTGCTGGTGGGAATGTAAACTTGTACAACCACTCTGGAAATCAATCTGGCACTTTCTCAGACAACTAGGAATAGCGCTTCCTCAAGATCCAGCCATACCACTCCTATGCATATATCCAAAAGAGGCTCAAGTACACAAAAAGGACATTTGCTCAACCATGTTTGTAGCAGCTTTTTTTATAAAAGCCAGAAGCTGGAAACAACCCAGATGCCCCTCAACTGAAGAATGGATGCAGAAATTATGGTACCCCTATACAATGGAATATTACTCAGCAATGAAAAATAAGGAAATCGTGAAATTTGCAGGTAAATGGTGGGATCTGGAAAGGGTCATCCTGAGTGAGTTGTCCCAGAATGAAAAAGACACACACGGTATTTACTCACTCATATAGACTTACAACATAGGACAAACCCACTAAAATTTGTGCATCTAAAGAACCTAAGCAAGACAGAGGACCCTAACTAAAACACTCAATCCCCATCCTGAAAGACAAAGAGGATGGACATCAGAAGAAGAAGAAAACAGGAAACAAGCTAGGAACCTGTCACAGAGGGCCTCTGAAAGCCAGAAGAAGAAAACAGGAAACAATCTAGGAACCTGCCACAGAGGGCCTCTGAATGCCTCTGCCCTGCAGACTATCAAAGCAGATGCTGAGCCTGATGGCCAACTGTTGGGCAGAGTGAATGGAATTTTATGGAAGAAGTGGGAAATAGTAAAAGCTGGAGAAGACAGGAACTCCACAAGGAGAGCAACAGAACAAGAAAATTTGAACACAGGAAACTTCCCAGAGACTCATACTCCAACCAAGGACTATTCATGGAGATAACCTAGAACTCCTTCACAGATGTAGCCCATGGCAGTTCAGTGTCCAAGTGGGTTACCTAGTAATGGGAAGAGGGACTGCCTCTGGCATAATCTGATTGGCCTGCTCTTTGATGATCTCCCCCTGAGGGGGGGAGCAGTCCTACCAGGCCACAGTAGAGGACAATGCAGCCACTTATGATGAGAACTGATAGACTAAGATCAGAAAGAAGGAGAGGAGAACCTCCCCTATCAGTGGACTTGGGGAGGGGCATGCATGCAGAAAGGGGAGGGAGGGTGGGATCAGGAGGGGAGGAGAGAGGGGCTTATGGGAGATACAAAATAAATAAAGTGGGAGGCGGAGCCAAGATGGCGACTAGAACACACAGTTTCTGAGCTGTGGAATTGCTAACCATCTGAGTTGGTGCGTGGAAGGACCTCTAACCCAGGAAAACAACGGTGAGGCTTCCTAAACAACAGAGAACATTGCAGGAGGTGAAAACTTTGGTCTCCGGTCACCTGGAGACTTGTTTGGGGAAGGTGAGAAACGACCCTTTGATCTCACAGCATTCCCCTCCCCCAGACTGCCTTCCTCCTTGGCACAGAAGAATCATATCTCTGCACAGACATAATTGCCTGGGATCTGCAGCGGCTGTGGCGAAGCTCCAAGCCCTTTAGTGGCAGGTGCCAGCAGTACCCATCTCAGAGTCCCAGATCCAAGCAGTGGCTGCACCATTCTCCCAGGGCCCGAGTCTGCTAGACGCCATACTAGCTCCACAGGATCGCGATCACTGACAGTACGGCCCACCCAATCCCACAGTGACAGAAAATACGCTATATACTCACCAAAACCAGACAGAAATGCCACACTAGCTAGGCACACCAGGCCCTGGGAGAGCACAGTGAAGAGACCCCAGGACTTCCCAGAAAACATTTGGACCAGCAACCCAGTCTCCAGTTACAACGGGACTTTCTAACCTGGCGGTGGAGCAGCACTGAGCTTGCGGGGCACATCAGCCCTCCAGTTTAAGACTAACCAGGGCCAAACCAGAAAACAGAAAGCCTTTTTACCCCGATTCCTACTGACGTGACCAACCTAATATCTCCAGCTGCAGCAAGACCTCATAACCTGGCAGTGACAGCAGCACGGAGCTGGCAGAGCACATCAAAGAAGCAGGGCCAAACCAGAGAGCAGAGAGCCCAGATACCCTGATCTCTGCCAAGTGACCTGCCTGTAAGTGAGTGCACCCTTGAGAATCTGCAAATCCCCAGATCCTGGGTCCTTCTAAAACAGAAGCCAGGCATCGAACCCCCTCCCACCCATATACCCACTTTGGGAAACAGAGGGGCACTTGGAACATTGAAGTTCCTGCTCTGTGGGTCTAATTGAGGAGTTAAGGCAGTTAATGCCAGAAATTGCGCTGCGATCATCACTAGCGCCTGCGACATATACAGTGCAGAGCCTCTCCCACACACTCAAGGGTTCAACATTAGCCATCACTCTGTCCCTTGAGATACACGTTCACGTACACCTCCACACACACACACACACACACACACACATACACACACACACACTTGCATTTGCCCCGTCTGTGCCTGCGTACTTTTCTCCCACAGGTACAGCTAGTCCTCAGCACATGCTAAGGACACGGGACCTCTCTCAGCTTACTGAAGAACTCTCCAGATGCCAGAGACAGACAGTACCAGTCTGATTTGCAGAATCCAAAAACAAACAGGGAAGGTTTCAGATAAGCCAATGGCCAGGGGTAGGTGAAAGAACACTTCCAACATAAATCAGGACATCATGACTTCACCAGGAAACCCCAAAATAGATGGCTACTCCAATTCATCAGAAGCACAGGAAAATGACCTTAAAGCCATGCTTACCCAATTATTTGAGTCTCATAAGGAGGAAATGAACAGATCTTTCAAAGAGTTGGCCAGTCAATTGGAGGTAAAGAAAGAAGAAATAGACAAAAGCCTTAAAGAAACACAGGCAAACATAGCCAAACAAATAGAGGCACAAGTAGAGGTAAAATTAGTGGCATATAAAAAGGAAATGAACAAGGAAGTAGAGACCAAATTCAAACAGATGAAAGAAATGGTGCAAGGCATGAAAACAGAATTAGAATCAATAAAGAAAACACAAAATGAGAAAACCCTTGAGCTGGAGAACTTGGAGAAAAGATAAGGAACCACAAAAGTAAGCATCACCAACAGAATACAAGAGATGGAAGAGAGAATCTCTGGAGCTGAAGACACACTTGCAGAAATTGATATTTCTCTCAAAGAAAAAGTAAAATCAGAAAAGTTCCAATCACAAATTATTCAAGAAATCAAGGATGCTATGAAAAGACAAAATCTAAGAATAATTGGAATTGATGAAAAAGAAGACTCCAGGCTCCAAGGTCCAGAAAATATTTTCAAGAAAATCATAGAAGAAAATTTTCCCAACTTAAAGAAAGAGATGTTTATAAATATACAAGAAACCTACAGAACTCCAAATAGACTAGACCAGAAAAGAAACACATCACTTCACATCATAGTCCAAACACTAAATCTACAGAACAAAGAAAAGATATTAAAAGCATCCAGGAAAAAAGGCCAAGTAACAGATGAAGGTAGACCTATCAGAATCACACTGGACTTCTCATCAGAAACTATGAAAGCCAGAAGGTCCTGGGCAAGTATCATGGAGACTCAAAGAGATCACATATGTCAACCCAGACTACTATACCCTGCAAAGCATTCAATCAACATAGATGGAGAAAACAAAATATTCCATGACAAAACTAAATTTATGCAATATCTACACAGCAAACCAACCCTACAGAAGATACTAGAAGGAAAACTCCAAACCAACGAAAACAACTTCACCCAAGAAAACAGGGCATACAGATAATATCCCAACAAAAACGAAAGGAAAACAAGCAATGAAACAGGGTAAGATCACCAACTCCATTACAAAAGGAACTAACATGCATTGGTCACTACTATCTATCAATATCAATGGACTCAACACCCCAATAAAAAGACACAGACTAACAGAATGGTTGCGGAAACAGGATCTAACATTCTGTTACATCCAAGAAACACACCTATGCAGCAAAGATAAACACCACCTCAGAGTAAAGGGCTGGAAAAATGTTTTTCAAGCAAATGGTTCCAGAAAACAAGCTGGAGTAGCCATCCTAATATCTAATAAAATAGACTTCCATCCAAAGTTAATCAAAAAAGATAAGGAGGACCACTATATTCTCATCAAAGGAAAAATCCACCAAGAGAACATCACAATCTTGAATATCTATGCCCCAAATACAAGAGCACCTACATTCATAAATGAAACATTATTAAAGCTTAAATCATACATTGATCCTAATACCTTAATAGTGGGAGACTTCAACACCCCACTCTCATCAAGGGGCAGATCAACCAGACAGACACCAAATAGGGAAATAAAAGCACTCACAGAATCCCTAAATCAAATGGACCTAAGAGACGTCTACAGATCTTTTCACCCAAACTCAAAAGAGTATACCTTCTTTTCAGCACCACGTGGAACCTTCTCCAAAATAGACCATATATTGGGTCACAAAGCAAGCCTCAACAGATACAAAAAGATTGAAATAATCTCTTGTATTCTATCTGACCACCATGGACTAAAGCTGGACCTCAACAACAACAGAAATAACAAACAGCCTACACACACATGGAAACTGAACAACTTACTACTCAATGACAGCTGGGTCAAGGAAGAAATAAAGAAAGAAATTAAAGACATCCTAGAATTCAATGAAAATGAAGGCACAACATACCCAAATTTATGGGACACGTTGAAAGCAGTGCTCAAAGGAAAATTTATAGCACTAAGTGCCTGCAAGAAGAAATTCGTAACATCACATACAAACAACTTAATGGCCCAACTGAAAACCCTAGAAAAAAAAGAAGCAGATACACCCAAGAGGAGCAGACGGCTGGAAATAAACAAACTCAGGGCTGAAATCAATCAATTAGAAACAAATAAAACTATCCTAAGAATCAATGAAACAAAAAGCTGGTTCTTTGAGAAAATCAACAAGATAGAAAAACCCCTAGCCAAACCAACTAAAAAGCAGAGAGAAACTATCCAAATCAGCAAAATCAGAAATGAAAATGGGGACATAACTACAGATACTGTGGAAATCCAAACAATTATTAGGTCATACTACAAAAACCTATATGGCACAAAATTTGAAAATCTAAATGAAATGGATAATTTTTTTGACAGATTCCATCTACCAAAATTAAGCCAAGATCAGGTAGAAAGACTGAATAGCCCTATATCTCCCAAGGAAATTGAAGCAGTCATTAACAGTGTCCCCTCCAAAAAAAGCCCTGGACCAGATGGCTTCAGCGCAGAATTCTACCGGACCTTCAAAGAAGTGCTAACACCAATTCTCCTCAAACTATTCCACAAAATAGAAACAGAAAGAATATTACCAAACTCATTCTATAAAGCCACAGTCACCTTGATACCTAAACCACACAAAGATCCAACAAAAAAGAGAACTTCAGACCAATCTCTCTTATGAACATTGATGCAAAAATACTCAATAAAATACTTGCAAACCAAATCCAAGAACACATCAAAGATATCATCCACCATGACCAAGTAGGCTTCATCCCAGGCATGCAAGGGTGGTTCAATATACAGAAATCCATCAATGTAATCCAGCACATAAACAAAATGAAGGAGAAAAACCACATGAATATCTCCTTAGATGCCGAAAAAGCATTTGACAAAGTCCAACACCCATTCATGTTTAAAGTCTTGGAGAGATCAGGGATACAAGGCACATACCTAAAGATAGTAAAGGCAATATACAGCAAGCCTGTAGCCAACATCAAACTCAATGGAGAGAAACTTAAATCAATCCCACTGAAATCAGGGACAAGACAAGGCTGCCCAATGTCTCCATATCTCTTCAACATAGTACTTGAAGTCCTAGCCAGAGCAATAAGACAACTAAAGGAGATCAAGGGGATAGAAATCGGAAAGGAAGATGTCAAAGTGTCACTATTCCCAGATGATATGATAGTATATATGAGCGACCCCAAAATTCAACCAGAGAACTCCTTCAGCTGATAAACACCTTCAGCAAAGTGGCAGGATACAAAATCAACTCAAAAAAAAAAATCAGAAGCCCTCCTGTACACCAAAGACAAAAAGGCTGAGAAAGAAATTAGGGAAACAACACCCTTCACAATAGCCACTAATAACATAAAGTACCTTGTGTGACTCTAACCAAGGAAGTGAAAGACCTGTTTGAGAAAAACTTCAAATCTCTGAAGCAAGAAATCAAAGAAGATCTCAGAAGATGGAAAGATCTCCCGTGCTCATGGATTGGTAGGATTAACATTGTGAAAATGGCCATCCTGCCAAAAGCAATCTACAGATTCAATGAAATACCCATCAAAATACCAACTCAATTCTTTACAGACCTTGAAAAAAAGATTCTCAGCTTCATATGGAGAAACAAAAAACGCAGAATCTCCAAAACAATCCTGTACAACAACAGATCATCTGGAGGTATCACCATCCCCGATCTCAAGCTGTACTATAGGGCAATAGTAATAAAAACTGCATGGTATTGGCATAGAAACAGAAAGGAGGATCAATGGAACCGCATAGAAGACCCAGAAATAAACCCACACAACTATGAATACTCGGTATTTGACAAAGAAGCCAAATCCATTCAATGGAAAAAAGACAGTATATTCAACAAATGGTGCTGGTCCAACTGGATGTCTACATGCAGAAAAATGAAAATAGATCCATATTTATCACCCTGCACAAAACTAAAGTCAAAGTGGATCAAAGAACTCAACATAAAACCAGATACTCTAAATCAGTTGGAAAAAAAGTGGGGAACAGCCTAGAACTCATTGGCACAGGAGACAACTTCCTGAACAGAACACCAACAACACGGGCTCTAAGAGCAACAATCAATAAATGGGACCTCATGAAACTGAAAAGCTTCTGTAAAGCAAAAGACACAGTCATCAAAACAAAACGACTGCCTACAGATTG